GGTCACGTGGAGCCTTTATTTAAAGACTTCTGAAGAGCCGATAGTCTTTAAACCCCCCATTAAACCAACCAATCATCTATTTTGGGTTACAGGCACAGTTGCTGACTCTGTGGGTCAGGTCAGTACTGTGGAATGGTCAGGTCAGGACAGGTCAGTATTAAATAAGTGACTGTGTTGTGCATTGCTATTCCCTCCCTGTTTATATATAATATCAAATTTCATTCAATTATCATTGTGCTTTCTCATGGTCCTCCTCGTCTTCTTCTGTCTGTTTTTCTTTGTTACCTTATCTATCTCTTAACATGAGAAAGTAATTATTATATTGTAATTATTATAATGTACTAGAAATTATTAGAATTCCCCTCCTCTCTCTCTCTCTCTCTCTCTCTCTCTCTCTCTCTCTCTCTCTCTCTCTCTCTCTCTCTCCTCTCACCTGCACCCACACTCACCCCTGCTCTGCCCTGCCCTACACCTGGTATATATCACACTTAATAGCTATCCGTTGCCTTTTATCACCCACCTCCATCGTGAAGCATCTAACCTGACGATACAATAGATACGAGAATCGCCCAGCATCGCCAGTTAGGAGATAAAGATTGGGGAGGCTCCTCCAAGACAAATCTCCTTCGATCGATTCTTTTAGTCATGAGATTCTTCAGATTTTTTGTCAGAAGATGTGTGTGTATATGTATGTGTATGTGTGTGTGTGTGTGTGTGTGTGTGTGTGTGTGTGTGTGTGTGTGTGTGTGTGTGTGTGTGTGTGTGTGTGTGTGTGTGTGTGTGTTTCTGCGACTCGCTCCCCTATGTGTGCAAGTTTAATAAGTCTAACACTATGATAGTCAAAAATACTGATATTATTAATATCACTAATATTTATCAAGTCATCAACCATGAAGCACAAGATGTCGTCTCAAGGACCCGCTGGTCTTCAGCGAACCAACAACACGTAAATTCGACATTTATTTGAGTTTTTCGAAGCTCGATGTGCCAAAGCCAGAAGGAGGCACCTCAGTCACGTGCCAGGTTAAGATACTCAACCAAGATGTCGTGGTAAATAAGTCTCCTCAGCAAAACCTTAAGAAGACACCTAGAGCGTTAAAGCGACATAACTCATTATTACAAGTGTTAAGAGAATGTCAGAATTTGGGCAAACTAATTCAATAATAACTATGAAAATCGTCGTAACCACTATTCGCTGATTTATTCCCATCCTTTTTTGCAAGAATGAAGTTATTTAAACTTAATTCTTGCTACAGATTCTTCAACACTCACTCCTGTTAAGTTCTTTCTCTCTTCTAATCTGTGATTCACCTCATCTTTCTTAGACACTTGCTGGCACCTCCACTCCCAAACATTTAAAAGCATTCACTTCCTCCACTCTTCGCCCTTCCAATCTAACAAATCTTTCAATATCTAGTTTTCTGCCTAATCTGGCCATTATACTCAATTTTGTGTTATCAGCTTTCGTGTTATCCACAACCCACCCAAACTCTTACACAAAACTTCTCGAAATCTCTCGTAAGCACACTGGCTTCAGTAACCAAGTGTCACAACTTTGACAACCTCCTCATCAGTCACCTTATACGCTCATGAAAGACGAAGGAAGGACAAGCAATCCTGCCAAGGTGAAAAATGTTTAACAGGCTTTCGTTTCTCAGTTAGTCGACGGGTTGGTAGTGCCTCCGTATGGTTGCTACAGTATTTCCCGGGTAAGGTTAGGCAGTTTTAGGGTCCACCCGGATATTTGTGTTGCTCCCCATACAAGCAATGTTTCGAACCTTAATGCGGTAGAAGCAAAAATATATATACTGCAAAGTGTTACTGTTCACCAACTCATGCCTATTTTACTAACAGACAGACAGACAGACAGACAGACACACACACACACACACACACACACACACACACACACACACACACACACACAACACACAACACACATCAATATATATATATATATATATATATATATATATATATATATATATATATATATATATATATATATATATATATATATTACGCTGAAACATAAGAAAATATATATTATTTATATTATTATTATTAATATTAGAACTTAAAAAATAATTAAAAGGTTTAGTCCATCCAAAAACAAAACCAGCAACATCCAGGCGTCCGCGATGCTAACATAACAGCACCGTGAACACCCAGCAGTAGTAGCAGAAGAAGTAGTAGCAGCAGAAGTAATAGCAGCAGAGTGGTAGTAGTAGTAGTAGTAGCAGCAGCAGCAGCAGCAGCAGCAGCAGAAATAGCAACAGCAGAAGTTGTAGCAACAGGAATTACAACATAGAAGTAAAATTGGCAGGAGCGTGAGATGGACCAAGTTTCACCTGTCTCTCTGTTAGGCATAATGCGTGGGCGATCTCTATCCTCCGTCGTCGGGTAAGGTAATGGTTGAAGTGAAACTCCTTCTCGAGTTCCAAGGTCTGGAATCGTGTGTAAGTCTGCCTCCCTCGCCGACGGGGGCAGCCGTTTGGACCTGCAAGACATGAGTGGTATGAGACGATGATGCTTGGGTACTCAGGGCGCTGGCGAAGTGGTGGCAGTGGTTGTGGTTGTGGTGGCTGTAACAGTGATAGGACGCATGACGGTGATGCTGGTGGGAGGAAGTAGAGGGGAAAGTATGGGAAGGGCGTGTGGAAGGCTTTATAGGGAGAAGTTACGAGAGTCAAAGTGTAAGGTACTGACAGAGATGCAGTGTAGTAATTTTAGTGATGATAGTGTTATAAGCAAATGTGTAAGTGATGATAGCTGGATGGTGCGCTGGGGGTGCTAGTGCTTGTTGTATTGACAGTGGGAATGATTCTTGTGGTAATGGTGGTTGCAATGTTGCTTTTTATCATTGTACGTGTAGTGCTGGTTATGGTGGAGGGGGAAATAGTGTTTGTCGTGTTGATGGTGATGACTGTACTGTTTATCTAAGAAGACTTGGTGACAATTGTGGTGTTGACTGAGGTGAAGATTACCACTGACGTGATGGAGGAATAAAGGGCACTGCATTTTGGAAAAGAGGGAGTAAATATTCTCCAGAGTGAATGTGTAGAATCGCATCTGTAGGTAATGGTAATGGACACCAACAATGGCGAAATGGAGAATGGAAATGGAGCAACAATATGACATGAGGAACGCTTAATCTATGAAGGAAGAGAGACTGGATGACCATGCAGGGAAGGGATGAGGGAGGGGGGAGGGTATGAGAGAGACCATGCGGGGAGACAGTCCAAGACCGGCACGAGGGAAGGGGAGGGGAGAGGGCAAGGGGAGCATGGGGAACATAAACAAAGATAATCTACTGGAATAAAGAAGAATCAGGAATTAAAATAACATTACTTCTTCTCCTGTAACAAAAGAAATTAGTCGTGAAATATTGCACAAACAATCAAAAACTTCTTTTTGGGCATAGTAAAGGGCAATGAAATTATATGAGAAATAAAGGTATATATAATATATATATATATATATATATATATATATATATATATATATATATATATATATATATACGTATATGTAATATATTATAATTATTGCTTAGAGCTTGTAAACAAACTAACCTTATTTACGTACCATTAACACATCAAAGCATTTTCGATGGAGGGTTATATGATTTACAGAAGCTGAGAACATGCACACACACAGACACACACACACACACACACACACAAACACACACACACACACACACACACACACACACACACACACAACACGCACGCACGCACACACACACACACACCACACACACACACACACACACACACACACACGCTTATAGCCATGCAAAAACAAACTCGAAAAATATTCAAAACGAAATCTTAAACTAAGTGAAGTGACAAACCATTTGGACAGACACCTCCTGAAGAGGGTCTCAGTTTGAGACCGAAATAAAAAAAAAACCTGAATTTTCTGTCCAAGAGGTTTCTCACTTCTCATGCGTGCATTATTGTAAATGAACTTAGATACTGGTTAAGGAATTAGTGTAAATTTTATCCTCTGTGTTGAAGTTGTTAAATGACTGCTAACACAGGGTGAGAGAGAGAGAGAGAGAGAGAGAGAGAGAGAGAGAGAGAGAGAGAGAGAGAGAGAGAGAGAGAGAGAGAGAGAAGGGCTACACACACTCCAGTAGTAACCTCGTAACAACAGTGGAGTCAGCAGGTAAAACACAACGCGCACTAAACACTAAGCAGATCAACACATTTTTTAAAAATCACAGAGAGATAAAGGAAAAAAATAAAAAAAAGAAAGTCTTGGTGTAAAAAATAGGATCCACTGAACACTCAACACCTAATGCAGGCTCAAAAAAAATACAGTTTGGAATTCGGAAACGAAGACAGCAATCCGAAAAGGGAAATTTTAAGAAACTTTTAGCCCAGATAGCTTTAATTTACGATTTTCTCACAGTGTGAGGCAAAGCCCCCACTGTTGCCCACTGATCCAAATCGAGAAGGAAATGTCGCAATAATCCGAAATAAACAGATTACTACTGTTAGTAAAACGTAGCAAAACAGCCAGGATTTATACATATCTTTAAGAATAGGTATGACAGGGGCCATGCAATTAGGAGAGAGCAAACCCAGTTGCGGCCAGCGGAGAGGCAGGGGCCAAGAGTTAAGGCTCGACCCTGGTAACCACCAATACGTGAGTACCATCAACCCAAAGGAGACCAAATAAAAATCTCCGGGTTCCCTAGAACAGATCCTCGGGTAGTTAAGAGTTTTCCTCAGTACCATTCTTGTGAAATTAATCCAAGACTCGTTCTCGAGAACTTAGAGAGAAAACGCTGTCTCAGTTCGGGTCTTTGATGAAGTGAAAGGCTTCTCGCGCCCTTGATCTTGAGGACAGTTCGTAATAAGTCATTAAAATTCGAGTCGTAGTTCTTCAAGACCTTATCGTTGAATTTTAATGCAGTGGGTGGAATGTGAACAATTTATATAAAGTCTCTAGAGGTCGATGAGAGAAAAGAAAAGACGTATAATACATATATATATATATATATTATATATATATATATATATAATATATAATATATATATATATATATATATCGACAAGTAAATGAATAAGACACACGTGCAACACTCTGGTTATCCGAAACGTCTTCATAATAAGGATACCCTTGTGTTGCACATGTGTCTTTTTCAGTCGGACAGACAGACATGCTGGTGAATAAACCGTCAAACGAACATAAACGACCAAAAATAGCGTAGTTTGGCATATTATCATCAAAGGCTGAGAGAGGTCGACTAACGTAAACAATGACGACATAAACTTCCATCCAACTTGACTTAAAGTATTATTCTGTGCGACACTATATCCTCATTAAGATAAATACAACTCAGAAGCGCAGCAAGAACTGCTGTACGAGGTTGATAATTTGCTACGTAAAGCGTCTCTTTCTCATCCATTCCCCACCCTTCCTTAAAATAAAAGAGAATTATTATTATTATTATTATTTATTATTATTATTTATTATTATTATTTCTTTCATAGGGGAACACTTAATCCATGAAGACATGCAAGGAATCGGTGGGTGGCTCCTATTCCTCCAATCAAAACAATCATAAGCACTAGAGTACCCCTCTTAAAGGGAATACTGTAACTGAGAAAGATGGAAGGGAAAAAAATCGGTAAGCAACTCTGAACAGAGTCAAGGAATTAAATGTCAGGAAACGAGAAAAACGAGTCACGATCAACGATCAATTTAAATTCTGCTGCAGAATGAGAGTGTAGAAGCCTGCCTGGGAAGTGTGAATCCTCCCTTGTGTACACAGCTCCCGTTTCGAGACCACACAAAGCCGGGAGCCGAGATTCGAACCCTGTAATCAAGTAAGCAGTTAAGAATCTTGAGAAAGTTTATAAATTATCACGAGATTTTATCTAGAAACTAATTCTTAGGGCATTGGTGGGGCAGAGGTTGAGAGGAGATGTTACCACGACGTAAAACATACTTCACACCATTGACAAAATTGATAAGAACAGATTAACATAAATGAAAGTCTCTGTACTGTTCATGGTATATTTCACAAATACACACTTGGAAAGAAAAACTTGATAATTTTTCAATACATTCTGGACCAGAACGAGCCGAAACGTCGAATAGGGATTCCTCTCTAAAGTGAGGCATTCTTGTGAGCTGTTTACTGTGATACAGACTAGAGGGAATGTGAACACTCAAGATGAACCAGAAAGATGCTATGAATCACGCAACCGAGTAAGTCTTGTGAATATGTAATAATAAAATATCTGAGGATCTTGTGGCGGTAACCATCACACGTGGATGCAAAAGACAGAGGAACTGCATTAGAAGATTGAGGGTTAAGGTTGGGCCAGTTGCTTGAGGTCTACTTCCACAGGCACATCTCATTATACATACATAAACGAGCGCTTTTGCAGTATGAGGGTAATAAAGTTGTGGAACGAGCTAGTAAGCGATATTAGAGTAGTTAACAACACACAGGAATTCAAGGGTAGATTTGACAGCTAAATCACCACAGATTATTGAAAGCTAAAAGAGAGAGGCCAAGAGGTAGAGCTAGACCCCTCACAAAATCAAACTTGAAAGTAAACTGGGTAATTATCTAATTATCTTTGCCTTTATCCCTCTCCACACATACAAATATGCAAAGAGGCGATCTTAACAATGCATAACAAGCCACATGGGAATGGAAATCTTTAGCTCAAGATCTTTCGCACTCTCTGTGCATCGTCAGGAGCTGTAATGTTGGAGACTAGAAACAGATAGTAAACGGAGTATCCACTTGTAACAGTGCACAAATACATCGTTCATGACGCACAGAGAGTGCGAAAGATCTTGAGCTAAAGAGTTCCATTACCATATGGCTTGTTCTACATATATGTCGTGCCGAATAGGTAAAACTTGCGATTTTGGCTTAAATAGCAACGCTGTTCTTGCCGAATAAAGCAAGTGAAAATTTGTGTATTTAATAATTTCGCAAAAATTATTCTGAACGTAGCGAAAAAAATATATTTCATTTTGTTTATCATTAAATTAATGTAAACTTTTTCTAAAATATATTTAGTTGGATTAGGCTAAATTAAATTAAGGTTAGGTAAGTCTAACGTTCTTTTGGAACAAAATTATTAATTTTTACATTAACATAATTGAAAAAAATACGTCTTTTAAAATATAAGAGAAAATTTTAGAAAGGACTTAATTTTAAACGAGTTCTTGCTAACTGACCAATTTTACCTATTCGGTACGATATATATATATATATATATCACCTATTTAAGTTCAATTTTTACGTTTCTCACTGTGAGGTGTGCAAAAACCATGCCTTTTAGGAGTAAGGTGCTCAGCACCACACCTCCCTTGGCTTGGCTTCTTGCAGCTAGCGTGTGGGAAGTCGTACTCGTCATCTCGCTCGTAAAATGTTTTATACCCACTACATAATTTGCCAAATTGACATTTATGATCTCATTTGGGTTAAAAAGCAACTTAGCTAAAAAAATCTTACT